GCGTGCGTGCGCGTGCGCGTGCGTGCGCGTGTGTGCGCGTGCGTGCGCGTGCGTGCGCGTGCGTGCTGCCACGCAACCTCCCGCTCACACTCCCGCTCACAGCCAGAGCGTCGAGAAAAGCGTGAGCGGGAGTGTGCGGGAGACTGGGCGGCAGCCCAGAAAGGGGGCCCGGTAGCCCCGCCCACCCCCGCTCACACTCCCGCTCACACTTTTTCCCAGCTCTGATTGTGCACTCACACTCACACTCCTGCTGACACTACCTTTCTGGGCCGCCACTCACACCCCCGCTCACACTCCCACGGAGTGTGATTGCGTGGGCTTAGAAAGTTGGCCGCGCACCCCCGCTCACTCCTGCTCACACTTCCGCTCAATTGGCCCCACGCCCCTGCTCACAGTCCCGCTCACACTCCCACTCACACTTTTCCTCCTCCCGCTCGCACTCCCACTGCCGCTCACACTTTTCCCCATGATGAGCGGGAGTGTGAGCCGCAGGTGTGTGAGCGGGCGGGGTGCTGGTGTGTGAGGGGTGTGAACGGGAGCGGAGTGGAGCGTGGGTGTCACGGGCCGCCTGGGAGTGACTTTCGGCAAGGTCGTTGTGGGGGCTCACACTTCTGCTCACATGTTTCTCACATTTCCTTTAGTGGTGGTTTTTCATTCTCACACGTTCGATCACATTTTCTCACACTTCATGTTTGTATATTTTTTCATGCTCACACTTTCGCTCACACTCAGTCTCACACTCAAACTCACGAAGTAAGTATTTCCTTGCTTCCATCGCCACTCAAAACACTAGTCTCAAGATCTCATGATATCTCACCGATGTGTGGCCGTGACATTTGCGCCACTCCAACAGACTCTAACATGACACCTTAAACCCGCGACTCTAAACCCCTAACCCTAAAACCCTAAACTACCAGAATTTGCGTATGTAGTAGATAATGCTGTAAATACTAGGGTTTCCTTATCATAGTAACTTCTTCAGGTTCCTTAACAGGGACCCAGTTTAGTACTGCTAATCCAGTCTACTCGGTACCATCCAAAGGTTGTAGCTCTCCCGACTGGAACTGATGCTATGATTCATTCCGACTTCCGAGCTGACGACGTACTGCAGGACCAGGTTGATGACGACAACCACACAGGAGGCCGCGGTCATAATGCCTTGGACCCGAAACCCAAAACCTAAACCCTAAACCCCTAAACCCTAAACCCCTAAACCCTAAACGGTCAGAATGCCTTGGACTTGGAGAAGGCTTTTTCTGAGGTTTAGTGTTTGGGTTTTAGGGCTTCTTTTTTACAACCCCTCGGACTTTTAATGCCTGCTTTGGGGTTTAGGGTTTAGGGTTTGGAGTTTCGGGCAGGTTGAGGGAAAAACACGGACGCTTGTGCAAAAGCCCGCGGAAGCCGTGTTGTACTTGGAGGGCTATATGCCATACAAGAACCCCAGTCATCCCCCTTCTTAACCTACTTACTAAGTTCCACTGACCCTCCAAGTAGGAGCATTCTGCAGAAAAACTGGGATAAGTGGAGTCATTGTATGGCTTATAGGTGTTTTTAACCTACTTACTAAGTCCCCCTCACCCTCCAAGAAGGGTTTGAGGATGGGGGATCTCGTCTTCGTCTCTAGGGCTCCCCCACCCCGCCCGAAGTCAACGATTTGTCTGCGGGAGTCCAACCCATATGTTCCCAGCATCCCAAAGCAAGGACAATGTCTGGATACCAATATCATCCAATATCTTTCGACAAACTGAAAAGCAAGAAGGGATTTGAAGGAGCTGCCCACTACTAGTGCAATGGAACTAGGTCGAAGGAAATTCCGAAACTAGAACAGTAGGAGAGTCGTCCAGAAGATGCATGCGACCCGGACCCAAACAAAACTAGCTGCCGTGTCTGGGCTCAGGCAAACCCTCTGAAATGCATCTCCTAAGCGAATGTTCAAAGGCAAGGCACCGATTCCCCTTGCTGTCTCCAAGAACCAAGGCGTGCAGGTGCTAACCAGGGAGGAATCCTGCACTAGCTTGGCCTCAGTCAATCGCAGAATGGTGGTGACATCTGGCTTGCATGTGGGGACCCGGGATCCACTCCTGCCCTGAAGACCAGCTGTAAGCATCCAAGGGGCATAGCCTTGAGCTTCACACCAGCAGTTTAGGATGTCGCCCCCCTGTGACTCGGCATAGACCATGGTCCAATTGCTGGCAATGTTAACCTGGGCACTGAGCATCATTGAGGCCATCGACATCCTTGCGCACTAAGACACCCCTCCATGATTTGCAACAAGTCCCTGAAGTCCACGATGGGCAGTTCACATGACCAAAATGAAAGCTCGTGATTTGTTCTGCTGTACTGCCTGGAGTGAATGACCAGAACAACCATAACAACTCCAGCAATCATAGAAAACACGAAAACCACGGCCGCCACCGCCACAACAGCAACAGAAAGAAACAAAAGATTGTGCTGTCAGCGAGGACGAGGAGGAGATCTGGAGCGGAGGCAGCAACAGCAGCATCGGCGGCGGATAAAGGCGGGATGGCACTAGTCACTCGTCATGGTTTTTCTCATACGTTTTTGTGCGTGGTGGAGCCACCACACCAACAAGAGGAGACCAAATGGCCAATGTATGCTTAGCAGCGTATCAAGTCTGCGTCCATCAAGCTGGGACTCATACAAAGAAAGACATGTTCCTAGCACATGCCAGGTCGAGCCACATTGCAAACGTACTCGCTGGCATTTGCAACTCTGGGGTCGCACTGCTCGTTGCCAATGTAGCCTGACCAGAAACCCTAAACTGAAGGCAAGGTCAACGCAAGTGCAGAAAGCTCATGCTAATGATGCTAATGCTCAGCTGTGTAGGTACACAAAGGTCCCATACCAGGGCCCAAAGAACCATTGGAACGTGCTGCCAAGGTGCTCAGTTGAGCACCAGCTTGTGTCTTGCCATACACAGTGATAGCGTAAATCAAAGCCTGAGGCAAAGAAACCCCGTCGCACAGCTATCAAATTTGGCTTCTTCAGCTGAAGCCCACACTGCTTTGCTAGGCTCTGCACAATGGAGATCGACATTATAATGATGAAGGTGACCAGCCTGAGCACAAGCTACTAGGCGAAGAGCGCAGCGGCTTAAGATATCGTCAATGAGTACTGCATTATTGCGAAGCTACAAGCATGAACAAAGACATTTAGCGACTGCTGTCACAGATTTCAGAAAGGTACTCGCTGGTGCAGCTTCGCCTAACTCTTCGTGTTCAGAACACACTCACAGGACAGCTTGTCCCAATCTGCCAAGCAGCATTACGAGCTGCCTGCCGTCAGCACAATCTCAACCACTCAAGCGGCAACAACAACTTTGGACATTGCATCATCAAGCAGAGTTCTCACTTTGATTATAATGCATGCAATCATCTTACCAGTGCTATCAAGCCTTCGACTTTGAGTTGTCAGCACAGCTACTGCTGGCATGGGCGCAAACATCCTTCACCATGACTAGACCCGGCACCAGGAATCACCCTCCAAAGACCCTAGCAACCTTTCATGGGCTTTACATCAGAGAGTACTACCCGAAGCCCCTGACAAGAAACATCAGGAGCCCTGCCAGAACATGAGCCTCAGAAGACGACTCCACCATGGCGTGTCCTGGTTTTCCCAGAGTAAGTCAGATGGCTGGGGTGCTTCACGAACTCGCAGGGCGGCTCCTGCCAGAGTTGTGGTAATCACTGGCTCTGCGATCTGTTTGGTTGACCTGAATTTCAACGATCCTATAACTCGCGGGTATATACAGTCATACTCATTAAACAATCCCAACTCAGACCGACAGCAGTTGGGGGTATTTGCCTGCAATGCAGGGCAGCCGGCACAGCTGAGATGCTTCTAATCTCTTCCCCCAATCCAACTCACCACCCTCCCCCAGTATGAAATATTCCCATTGTCGGATGCCATAATATGTCACGTAGGACCATCTAATATAAGAGGGGGAGGAGATAATCCGAAGCCCCATTTGTTTTCCAGTCTTCGAACTGGGGATCCTTTTGTTTAGGGTTTAGGGTTCAGGTGGGCCATAGAGCCAAGATCTTTATAGCTTAACTAAAGGACATAAGCCGGACCCTGCACTTCACGGGTGTTCAGTGTTGAGAGCGAATGACGCCAGTAGATAGGTTTCCGACACCTGCGCACACGAAACTACTTTGGAATGAGGTCCCCGACTGCCCTGAGCCGGACCTTCATTGTTAGACTAGGTTGGCCCCTAAAACCCATTGAAAAATATTAGTATATATGGTCCCCTATAAAAGCCATTAGGGAAAATATCAATTATCCCAGGGGCTTACCCTAAACCCTAAACCCTAAACCCTATACACTTACCCAGTAGAACAAAAAAGCGGTGCTCAAGTTGACTAGGACCTTCACATCACTGCAAGCCATAGGCCGCAGCCACACGGTTTAGGGTTTAGGGTTTAGGGTTTAGGGTTTAGGGGCTGTAAACCTAACATAATCTAAGGTTAGAGAAGTATGCGCCTCTAACATGGGCCCGTAGGCCTTTTAGGGAGATTCTAGGGACCCTTAAGGGTACATATAGGGTTCATGGTTACAACCTTAGACATAAACGTAAACCTTGTTTTTCTACATCTGGACTCCAGCAGGCTCTGCCAGACTGAAGAGCACCCCATCATACAGCGCTCCTGGCTGAAAGTGACCAAGCTCCCTCCAGGAACTCTACAGAAAACAACCTCACCAAAAAAATACCACATCTCTGAAAGGAAATTAACCCTGAACCCTAAACCCTGAAGCGCAGGGCTAAACTCACGTTGTGCTCTCTGAGGCCCAGACCGAAGAATCGCTTTTTGCGCGACTGGCAGCAGCGAAACAAGGCAAAGTTGGCCATACCTCGGCCGGTGGCCGTGGTGCGAAGCCGCACAGCTGTGCATTATGAGCGAACCTCCAGATTAGTAAAAAAAACAACGATGCCAAATCAAGACTACTACCTGGATAGAAGTGATAGCAAGTCTGAACAGAAGAATCCTACACGTAACATGTAAAGAGGTGTGTATACGCAAAAAATTGCATGTTGGCCATGCAAGTTGTCTTTGACTCCCTCATTTGAAAGAATCTAACGGCATCCATGTTACTGAAGTCTACTAGCTTTGCCGACCTGTCGCGTTTAGGGCTCAGGGGCTCGGGGTTTGGGGTTTAGGTTGATTTGCTGCTCCGACACGGTAGTCGTACATCAGGCTGTGCTTGTCCGCGGTCCGGTTTAAGATCACATAGGCCCGTAGGACTCCCAGCCTCAGGTGACGGGTCCCATCGGACTCTATCTCCACAAAACCATCGCCCCTGCAGCCCCCTGTACTGATGAAAGGAACCACCTGCATATTGCCTGCAAGAATCTCTCGAAGGATTCCCCCGCTAATACTCTTTCCAAGGCCATCAGCCATCATTGAAATACGAGCTGAAATACTACCGTGCCCAAGACGTTTCTCCGAGCGACTCATTATCAGGAGCCAACTGCTTCTGTAATCGCTTGTCCGCCTTGGCCTTAGGAGTAGCTCAAGGAGACCGGCGTGGGAAAAACTACCAAAGCCAATAGATGTCACATCCTGTCAAGACACAGAGCTGAAGCCGAATGCCAAGGAACCAGTCTTCCCTCTGCCTTAAAAATCCTCTTCTCTTTGCCATAGGCTTTCCTAAGCTTCGTCCAGCTTGGCATGGCGCAGTGTGATGAACTTATGTCGCGTTCTTCCGGTCTTGGCCAGCCACACTTAGATTGCATCCGCCAACCCTCCACCCACATCCAGCTGTCATACAGGGACTCAGGGAAATTGGAAGAATCTGATGCTGCTACTTCGTTGCTATTCTAAGTGTGAAACCCGTACATGAGTCCTAGCTTCCTCCGCGAATGGGGCAGCAACCCCGCCAAACTCTATGTGGTAGTTTCTCCACACAAGGGGACCCCAGCATGGGCACCAAAACACTAAAATCCTTATTACGAGGACCCCCCAAATGGAACCCCCTAATTTGTCAAACCCTAAGCCCTAAACCGCTAATTTTGGGAAACCCCATGTTAATCTCTTGTGGGCAGTGCCGGTGAGAGACGCGACCTCTATGTCCTGCAGCATACGGCCACGAGCCTGCAGACTCTCCAGCCTGCGGCATTGTGTACTCCCCTAATAGGGGGTTATATGATGGGTTATATGGGGGATATTTTGGTATCTAGTGTATTCTAGTGTTATATAGGGATGTATAGGGGTTATATGGGGATATACTGGAAAATAAAATCTACTATTTAGGGTCTAGGGTCTAGGGTTTAGGGTGTAATCCCCTCCCCCTAGCCCCTAATATTAAACCTCCCCACCCCTAAGGCCTCAGGTTTAGGGCTTAGGGCTTACACCTCCCCACCCCCCTAATATCAAATACTCCCAATATACTATAATATACCACATCTCATATTAGGGGGTGTTTAATTAATATTAGGGGGAAGGGATTAACAAGAGCCCCAATACCAGCAGCAGATAGCAGCAGCCATGGTGGTACTGGTGGTTGTGGAGGTGGTGCGCATGGTGGCGGCACCAGCAGTGGAGCAGCGGCGGTGCTTCTGTCGGTTACTACCATAAGGGTGGTTGTCAAAATGATGGTCCCTGTTTGGGTACCCTAGATATTAGGTGCCGTATTATAATAGGGACCCCAAAAGGGACGATAATTTTGACAACCACCTATAAGGATGCTAATTGTCGTGCTGTACACTTTCTGCATGCATGCTCTGTGCTGAGAGAGAGATGTAGGCGGCGAGGAACATCAATTCGGGAGTGGAATTCAGCCTGCATGCTGCAAGTTTGAGTGTCCTTGCAACATCACCCTTCACACCACAGCTCTTCAGGCTAAACTTTGCATAGACAGAATGAATTATGCCGAACAAGCCTAGGACTTGGCCTTCCATCAATGCCTATGTCCCTTGCTCGGGTGTCCTCCCACCAAAATCTCGCACCAAAGTGATGTCGGCTACATGTGGTTCCGGCCTTGGGTGGCAAGCGGGTTCTGCACCGACCGAGGCTTCACAAGGACAGCGGAAGCTATTTGATTTCTAAAGACATGATGAGAACACCAATCAAATACGCTGCTAGAAAATCCTTTCAAGTGGGTCAAAGCTCGAGCGTGCAAAATCCATTCAATCTACAAATGACTACACCCTCTGGCCCTGTTGTGCCCCCTCATTGTGGCGTG